AAACTGCCAGACGCGGATCACGATTTCGATCTTTTTGGATCTCATCAGCGCGTCGCAGGCAGCTCCGACAGAACACAGACCAACTTTTACCTGCTGTCTTAACAGTGCGTTTTAGAAAATATTACAAATGGCACAGTAAATGCCATCTGTAGCACGATATGTAATCCTAAAATGTAGCACGATACAGATGGCGTTTACTGTGCCATTTGTAGTATTTTGTTTATATATAGTTTATTTACAAGTTTTACTTACTGGGTCACTATTGATTTTAGAACCATTAATATTATACCAACTAGGTAATAAAACCAGTTTCATAATGGAAAAAATAATCACCCATTTACAACTCACTACGTAAGTCTAATAAATTGTGTCTGTAATATAAAATAAAATTGTTAATATTAAATTTAGTTTTATTGCTCAATTTTGTGATAGATATGATACTTATGAAAGGTTTTAATAAAAGATTGTAAAACGCGTCAAGATTTTCTTTGGAAACACTACTACCAAATTCGTTACAGGAATTAATAATAAAAGTTGAAATTGCAAAGTGAGTTTTGCTGATTCTTATATATTTCGATGATTATATGAGATTACGTCTGTATAAGCTACAAGATGTTCGTAATGAGATCATTTTAATGCAGGATAAAGCCAAGAGTTCTCCAAAATACACAAGACGGGTCAAGGATCAACTTATAAAGTGGCCAATAAGAATTCCAGATCATAACCCTATCGGACACGGCTGGGATATTCTTCGAAAGCGTTTTGGTCCCATTTAAGCTCTGCCAATCACCATCATAACTGATAAAAGATAGCGGCTGGTGAAAATTCAAAGGACCAACTCTATTACACGTAGTATGTGATTAGAACATTGATTTGGATAGTAATCAGAAGGGATGTAATCTATTTTATATTTAATAGCAATTCTAATTTAAGTACCTAGTGTTTGCAGATACATGTGCTATATATCAAATTAATGTCTTGGCATTTTTTATGTTCATTAAGATGTGAGTACGAGGCAACTGGTCACGCGTGCGTCATTAAAATAGCTCCATTAGAATTTTTACGCGATCGATTTCTTGTAAAGTGTACCTACATTTGTGGTAATTGTGAAAATGGATGGGCGGTGGTAGGGAGAGACGGAAGAAATGGACAAAACAAAGACATAATGGAAGAGAAAAATTGTGTGGAGTATTACTGCCCCAAATAGGTAAAAGCGGACCCAAGACAAAAGAGGAGCTTTACCTCCGGTTAGAGATGAGCCAAGAAAGACGAAGACCAGTCTTGTTATTGGTCTTGGTCTAGGTCTTGCTTATTCGGTCTTGATCTTGGTCTTGCTCAAATACTTCTAGTTTTGGTCTTGGTTTTACTCTGTGGCGGATTATGATACTTACTTACTCAAAAAGTAAAAAAAAAATAATATACATTCACGTAGGGCATTACCTGCTACAATATGATTTTTGTTATATTTCTTTGTGTCTCTGTACTTGTGTAAATATATTGAAGTCTATTCAAATTCTTTTGAATTCAATTCTATCGCTATCAATTACTTTTATTACTTGTACTTTCCAGTAATCCCTATTAACATTTCAGCTTCGCGTACATAGCATCCTTTCCTAATTACTATTTTACGACGGGTTTTCTTCGGTGATAATAATTTAGACAGTTTAATTGGAATCTCTCTCTCTCTCTTGTAATTATTTTCTTTACTTCAGAGCCGGGCAAACACGGCTCTTTTGACTCCCGAGAGCTCCTCTGGTATAGCCAAGGAGCTCCTCATTGATCCTGCGAGTGCGAGTGAGATGATTCTTTCCTTTTCTTATCCCTTCCATTTCGTAGGTGAGTGCCCTCTTCCGTAGCCAAACCCAATAATATTGCGAACGAAAATTTTCGTAGGTATTATTTAAGTTGCGAGAGAGGCTTCGCTCGTCTACGGGATGAAGGGGCTTGATATGGGAGTGGAAAGGAGAAGAAAAAGAGAAAGCAATATGGGTCATTACTGCTTACTATCTCGTACTTATTGAAGGGTATGGAGTGACTCAAACTAACCTCACGTAGCGGCTCCTACGAAGTTAAAGTTTGCCCGGCTCTGCCTTCATTAGTCGTTGCACAACCGTCATTGTTCACATTTTTCATCGATGTTGTAGCTGCCCCATTGCATTTAGTTAACACACCCCAAAGCCTGTTACTTATTTTAGAAACACCCTGTACACATATACCTTCAAAGCATACATATATATAAGAACTGTTCACACTATAAAAGAGGATTTGTACACATTCGATGGTAACGTTGATTTTTATTTTCCTTTAATTAAGACAGACTTTTTTTACAATTTGCTCCAGGAGGTTCTTACAATCCAATTACCTGGTTTATAAAAATACTGCAAACAAACCGAAGAATTTGGAAAGTTAAAAGAACTGACTTAACAAGATCAAAGAAAACATGAAAAACAGGCAATCACAGCTGTCAGGGAAACGATCGGAGAGCATTTTCTAGGGAGCCAGAACAACCCACTTTGATTTAGTCGTACCTACCACATACATACATATATACGTACAAATGTGTATGTGCAGAGATCTATCTGTTTGCAAAAACAACCCTTTCGTGAGTTTTACCAGCAGAAATACTATCGAACATGGTTATTTAAAGGAGAATCTGTATTGGAAATCAAAAATCTGAAAGAGCTAATATATTGACTTCNCCTATTATTGCCCCCTGAGTAGCTTCTTTGCTCTTCTTATTTTGCCTTCTATCGTCTTGTAACTCTCCGACATCGCAGCATTTATTTATAGGGACTGATCTTGTTTTAGAAATATTCCAGAATGCAGGTTCTAGAGAATTCTAGCCTTCTTTGTTACTAACGCGATCTGAAGAATTGATAAGATGCCTTGAAGAATCCATTTCAACGAGTTATATTTTGATCGGATTATATTGAATGTGGCAGAACTTTTGTTTTGGATTCAAAGTGGGAATAGATTGGTGAGCCAGATAGGTCCTCTTAGGCGATGGGACTGCTCGTATTACCATCCAACCTCTAACCCCAGGATCTGACCATAACTTAATCTTCAAGAGGTGCATAACATTAAAAAAGGTAAAAACTTAATAAACAAAAATTAAGTGAGTAGTTTCTCGTTCGAACCAGCTTACACCAGTTTCATCGAACTGATGTTCATGTGAAGTCGTTATGATCCGAGACTAAGATGCTTCTGACGATGGGTTTGAGAAACTAAACAATGACTCCAGGTTTTTCTAAGGGTGAATCTGTCCTTCATCGCCCAACCAGGAGATTGCCAGTGATAGTGAAGTTGTTTGTGGGAGAAACAGATAAGATGCTATTTATTTAACCAAATGAAAGCGCTCTCTATTTCTATAATGTTGTGCCGAGTGGCAGAGACATTAACCCTCTTAATTTTTTTTTCTGTTAAAAAATAAATTTGTATTATTCTTGTTGTGTTTAACGACTTCTGGATGAATTGACCGTCCAACGAACTCTTAATATCAGAAAAAAATATAAACAGACGTTAATAAATATAACACCATGGTCATCATTGTCATTTAAATCCCCGTAGGTACTTCATACTGTCTAGAATATTGTTTATTGCTCTCAAATATTTGCTGCAGTCGCTCCAACTGTCACATATTTACACTTTAGAAGCACATTATTTAACAAATATATGTGTTAACTGCTGAATTTAAGATTTCGTAGGAGGTAGGTATATGCGAAAAATTTGCCCATTAAACCTGCAGCTTACAAATTATAGAATGCAATAAGATTGTAATTTTATATACAGTAGGTATGTGTATTAAAGATACAAAAATAATTTTTTATGAGTTTGTATTACGTGTTACTACTTTATTGCGATAAAAATAATTTTAATGCCAAAGACAGGAACAGTCACGAGACGACCACGTTTATAAGATACAAGAAAATATAAAAGTAATTGGGTGTGTTTAGTTATCATTATGGTATCATATTTGAAGTTATACTTTTCTTGGCGTATTGAGAGTAAAATGTTAGTAGGGAACAGAAGTTGTGATTATACAGTTAAGAAGAATTGGACAGTTTGTAGTTAGTTGTAGTTTGTGTCTGTAGAGTACCCTTTTAAGTGTGATTTTTAAATTAATTTTTAAATAAAATATAGCATTATGTGAACGAACAAACTTTAACTCTTTTATTTACTGTGCCACGTCAGATTACTTCCAAACAAGGCGCCTGCGTCACCTGACATGTGTCAAAAAATTGAATTGACGAACACCGAAAACTTAAACAACCATAGATAAATATTATGCAGTTGTGACTTTAAGTTATATTAGAATCCCTAGATGTCGCCATGGATTAGTTTAACTAGTTTAACAAGTGATCCGAAGCATACATGAAACCAAATTAGGAAGCACAGACCTTTGTCTGAAAGCTTATCAATAGCTAGATTAGCCGTTAAGGAGTACCAATGAAATTGCATTCCAACCAAGACAGAAACTTCAAATTAGCTTTGTTCAAGCAGGTCGCTGATCTAATAGACATCAGAAAAAGAAATACTGCATTCTGACATCAACTACCACCAAACTCCTCTTAGCTTTAGATTCGTCATCCATCAGACGACTAGAAGAATACCAGCCAGCATTACATTTGGGAAATAACTTAGACTGCCAGCGGATATTATATTTCGTCGACCTGGAGGCTCTCCAGTTTCTACAGATGAGTAAGTGGTACGTTCGACGAGCCAACTCTGCTGATTTTAATGAAGGTAACAACGTGTACAATCCATCGTGACGGAGGGGACGTTGCCCGAAACTATAAGAAATGTAGGATGATTCTTATTCGTTACTCTATACATCAACGTTATCTATCGAATTTAGAAAGGCCCTCAGGTTGTTTACTTTAAACGACTCGTTTCATAAAGGTAAACGTCGCTGATCAGGATGACACCAGTTTTAAGAGGGGACACTGTCACATATACCCTCATACATGAAGAAGCGTTAGATGGACTATGTATACTGGGTTGCTTTTAGAACCTTCATTCTAGAGTCTTTCTAGAACTAGGTCAGTTCTAATAAATAAATGCCGCGAGGCGAGATCTGAAGAGGGCAGTTCCACTTACGAGGTCATACCTAGATGGTAAAATAAGAATAGCAAACAGACGGTTCGATGAGCAAGCGAATAATTGATAATATTATTGTTAGTTGAAGATTAAGTAGAAAATAAATTAGCTAGAGTGCAATACTGTGGGTTCCATAAAACATCTTTTGCACTTTAATTAATTTTTCTAATTAATCTTCAATTAACAACCCTATTATTGCCCCCTGAGTAGCTTCTTTGCTCTTCTTATTTTGCCTTCTATCGTCTTGTAACTTTCCGACATCGCAGCATTTATTTATAGGGACTGATCTTGTTTTAGAAATATTCCAGAATGCAGGTTCTAGAGAATTCTAGCCTTCTTTGTTACTAACGCGATCTGAAGAATTAATAAGCTGCCTTGAAGAATCCATTGCAAGGAGTTATATTTTGATCGGATTATATTGAATGTGGCAGAACTTTTGTTTTGGATTCAAAGTGGGAATAGATTGGTGAGCCAGATAGGTCCTCTTAGGCGATGGGACTGCTCGTATTACCATCCAACCTCTAACCCCAGGATCTGACCATAACTTAATCTTCAAGAGGTGCATAACATTAAAAAAGGTAAAAACTTAATAAACAAAAATTAAGTGAGTAGTTTCTCGTTCGAACCAGCTTACACCAGTTTCATCGAACTGATGTTCATGTGAAGTCGTTATGATCCGAGACTAAGATGCTTCTGACGATGGGTTTGAGAAACTAAACAATGACTCCAGGTTTTTCTAAGGGTGAATCTGTCCTTCATCGCCCAACCAGGAGATTGCCAGTGATAGTGAAGTTGTTTGTGGGAGAAACAGATAAGATGCTATTTATTTAACCAAATGAAAGCGCTCTCTATTTCTATAATGTTGTGCCGAGTGGCAGAGACATTAACCCTCTTAATTTTTTTTTCTGTTCTTTGCGTGATAAATAAATTTGTATTATTCTTGTTGTGTTTAACGACTTCTGGATGAATTGACCGTCCAACGAACTCTTAATATCAGAAAAAAAATATATAAACAGACGTTAATAAATATAACACCATGGTCATCATTGTCATTTAAATCCCCGTAGGTACTTCATACTGTCTAGAATATTGTTTATTGCTCTCAAATATTTGCTGCAGTCGCTCCAACTGTCACATATTTACACTTTAGAAGCACATTATTTAACAAATATATGTGTTAACTGCTGAATTTAAGATTTCGTAGGAGGTAGGTATATGCGAAAAATTTGCCCATTAAACCTGCAGCTTACAAATTATAGAATGCAATAAGATTGTAATTTTATATACAGTAGGTATGTGTATTAAAGATACAAAAATAATTTTTTATGAGTTTGTATTACGTGTTACTACTTTATTGCGATAAAAATAATTTTAATGCCAAAGACAGGAACAGTCACGAGACGACCACGTTTATAAGATACAAGAAAATATAAAAGTAATTGGGTGTGTTTAGTTATCATTATGGTATCATATTTGAAGTTATACTTTTCTTGGCGTATTGAGAGTAAAATGTTAGTAGGGAACAGAAGTTGTGATTATACAGCTAAGAAGAATTGGACAGTTTGTAGTTAGCAACGTGTTTGTGTCTGTAGAGTACATGGTTAATTTGAGCTGAAGGCTAGAACTAATGGCTTTGGTCACCGTTATTCTATAATTGGAGTGCATTTGTGACCCGGCCAGTAACCGAACTTACCCTAACCTAACTTTTAGGTTCGGACCTATCCGAACCCTTAGTATGCTCATGATCGAGAATTACGCAACGAGCCGGGGCCTCGGTGTAAAACCTTATAACCTAGAATGCGGTCCATCAACTAACTACTTTTTCGAGTCCGATACTAATCAGTGAGGGAGGAGTTGAAGCTGGATTCTTGGACTCCCCAGCTTACGATGTTTTGGAATTGGTATTCTGGTAGCTACTAGCTATTCTGGAGCAGCCCTAGCAGGACTACATACGTTTAGACGTATCGCGACATCATCGAGCATCCTTCAGTCCCCCTAGCTAGCGTGAGTCACTATGTTTTTCGCCTCTATTCTTCCTTTGTCCGAAAATTACGGCACCGGATCCACTTATAACTGTTCTATCCTACATGCTTACTTTAAGTCGGAAACCCCCTTAATAGGTCGAGTTACTCTTGACTGTGTGATCCAGCCTGATATACACCACTTTGCTGGGACACTTATATCGCTTTGGGCATGGATTGAACCCATCACACTCAGAGATCCGCTGACTTTTAGGTACCTGTTGTTGAAGTTCAGATGCGATTGTCGGTGAAGGTGTCTACAATCGTATCGGGAGAGCCTCCCTTTCGACGGGAACGCGTTCTTCTCTACGTCAGCCTACCGTGTCTTTGCTGGTCTTTACGCAGTCTCCCTTCGGGGCTTTCGCTGACTCGAGATGACATACCAGACCCTCACTTTGATTGTAGGCTACTTCCACTTGCACTTTTACCTGTAGATGCAGGTCTTAATTGATCTTTCCACAGCAATACTGTAGAGCCTTGGGGGGATGGGGGGCATGTAGGAGCAACTAGTGAACGCTTAACGCGGAGTACCTGCCTTATAAAGGATTATCTACGCGTTAAACGAGAGCAATAGTGCCGGGATGGAATAAGGACTTTCGGAGGCCTTTCATTCGACGAGGTGATTAATCCCCTAGGTTCGGCCCTATGTAAATCTTTAAGCATCTAACTAGGAGAGTATGCAACGAACTGGACGTCCCTCTGCACAGACCCTTAACCTACCAATCAACTGCGCCTTCGAATCCCACACTACTTGCTGTAAATTAGTGACACATATTTGAAACCCTCCGTACGACAATATGATGCGTGGATAGAACATACACGTCACACATCTTTCGCCAGCCGGCATTGGAACCATTCTTCATTATTTTCTATACACTCTGTATTTCTATTAGTGATGAATGTTTCGATTCAATTTTATAAACGACAATTATGCTTCAGATTAGACGAACAAACGGTTTTCGAAATCCTATTTCGATATTATTTCCGAGAAGGGAAAATATATATGTCCGCAGTGAAATGTTTTATTAGTGGTAACTATGGTGAATCTCGTTTAGTTTACATATTTATATGTATATTTCTAGAAAGTGATTCGTTTAGTCCCGTAAATCGAATATCGTGTTTTTGTTATACAACACCTAAATCTCGATTTCGAAATTCCTCAGAAATATTTAGCAAACTCCCATTCTCAATTATAGGGACAGAATGGTACTTTGGGTATAAAACGCGCTTTAAGTTGTTAAACCGTTTAATGGAATTTATCTTCTTTCATATTACGTGAATATGTGAAGGTGAAACTAATAACAACGACGATATTTATTTAGCAGACGATATAGCAGTATTAGCATCTAGCAAAAAGGAGTTAGAGATAGCTTTAAATAAAATGGAAGCAGTATTGACAAAACAGTATTATCTGAAAATGAATAAAAGTAAAACAAAAATACTAGTATGCAAGGGAAGAAAAAGTAGGGAAAGAGCGAATGTAAAGATAGGAGACGAAAGATGATAAGAAGTGGATGACTTTAGGTATCTAGGGAGTCAGATAAGTCAGGACGGAAGAAGTAGTACGGAAAAAAAGCAGAGGATAGCGTAGGGTCGAGTCACCTTCATTAAAAAGAAGTCACTTCTATGCTCGTGAAAAATTAATTTAGAAATTCGAAAAAGATTGTTAAAGGTGTATGTTTGGAGAGCGGCGCTGTACGTGTGCGAAACAAGGATGGTGGGCGCGGTGTCAAAGAAAAGGTTACAAACGTTCAAAATGTGGTGTTACCGGCGAATGATGGGGATACCGTGGATAGAGAAGGTTGCAAATAAAGGAGTATTAGAAAGAAGAGGAGAACAGAGGACTCTGTGGAAGTCATTAAAAAATAAGTGAGATAGGTTGGTAGGACACTGTCAGCCATGAAGGTCTAGTCAGAGACATATTAGAGGCAGAAATAGGAGTTAAGAGGAGTAGGGGTAGACCTAGATTAGATTACTGTTCATAAATAGTTAAGGATGTGGGCTGTTC